GTGGTTAACTCTTAACTTTTATAAAGAATATCTCTTTGGATTTGAGACTTTAGTCTTTGCAACTTTACAGATTTTTTTGCAACTTTACAACTTTACTTTATGCACCAAGAGCTTGTAACATTCCAAAGAGAAAGGAAAACTTGAAATCGCATCATATGACCCCTTTAAAATGATCATTTATCAATTATCAGGATCATTCTAATTTGCTGCTTAAAAACACAGAACACAGCACAGAATTTAGTAGGGATGCTAGGGACTTGTCTCTACCAGTATCTAGTTACTCCTTAAGCGACCGTAGCAATCATTTTAAAATAATTAATAATTAAATATATGAATATGTAACTATTGTTGTTGTAATTTTGGCCACATCTGAGTCATACTGACATTATCTGAGAAGTTAAAGTATATACTAGAAAAACTGCATTCTTTCAAGGATGTGCGTTAATGCATGGACCGGGAACATAACGTGTAAAAAAATATATATTTTGCAGTAGACAAATAATAAAAAAGCAAGTGCAATTTATTTCAAAGAAAATTCAGACTTAAATGATAAATCCGATTATGCACCGAGTTCCACAAACCTGGCTGTTGATGTTGTTATTTTCTCCAAACACCAGCCAGCCTCCAACACAGGCAGCGAGAAACGAGTGCGACTGCAGTGGTCTTCCCTGCAAGCGCTGCTGGAGAGCCTGCAGGCCTTTATAGGTGAACACAAAGCAGGCTAGATTCCTGGAGTGAGTGTATGTGGCCTGAGCGATCGCCCTCAACTTCTCTCTCAGACTGATGATCATGCACAGAGATAAAGCAATGGTTAGATTTGAATGATTATTGCCCGGTTTCACAGACGAGGCTTAAGCCTAGTCCCAGACCAAAATGCACGTTTGAGCCGTCTCAGCTGAAAGTAACTTGCACTGGAATATCTTAAAATATGCCAGTGCTATTGATTTGTATAGTTTTTTTTTTTGTGCATTGTTTTTTCTAAGGCACATTTATTAAAAAAAAACAAAAAAACAACTTAAATGTCCTAATTTCACTATGGCTTAATGCTGGCTTAATCTAAGCCCTGTCTGTTGCAAGTCATGCTGTATATATGATTATTTTTCACACACAGCATGGGTACATTGAAAATACAATGCAAAAAAGCAGCTAGTCATCACAGACATTTGGACCCCACTGTAAATGTATACACATAAACAAGACAGTGTAATATTAAAGAATCGTGTAAATCATCTCATTTTCTCCCACATTATACTAGCCACACATCAACAAGTAAAAGCAGCAATATAACCATTTTGACATTAAGTGGCATGTAGTTATCTGAGAGGTCAAAGTTCACTTCACCTGCCACTTCTGAACAGAAACGTCATCACTAGGGCGTGAGGGGCACGAATTTTAGCCCCATATCTGGAAAAGAAAAGAAAAAAAGTACGCAAAATGAGACTTTCTTCATGTGAACAACATATAATTACAGATTTTCAGTTAGTCGAATTTCTAAAACTAGCAATATGCAAACCTATTACTTTAAGTTTAATGATCATAACGCTCAAAACACTCAAAATCTATATCATTTCAATACGCAAAATGCAGTGTAATTAAAAGTGCTGCATGTCCAAAAGTAAACAACATTAGAATTACAACTGTGTAAATGCATGTGTTACCAAACACGAATAAAAACGCTGTTTAAAGGTCATTCAGACTCACACAGCTCCATTCCTGAAGCCTTTGACGACTGCCAGAGCAGATTTATATTTGTGTTGTTGCAGGAGATTGTTGACTGTGTATAATAGAGTTTTAAAGAGATCTGAAGCTGCCATGACTCTCCTTCAGGACGGACGCCTCACACTGTAACACACGCGGAAATATTCCTGCTTATAACAGTTCCGCTTAAAATGTCCGGAACGACAACACCTATATGAAACATAATAACTTTTTTTTTCTTTTTTTTTAATCTGTGTCCAGGTAGGATTATTAAAGTCTTAATAAATAAAATCTGAGAAGGAGTTTATGAGGTTTTTGCGTTGGTCAGAGAGTGTCATTACTGATGTTCAGCACGAGAGGGCGCTGCTGCGCCGCTTATGTTTGTTTCCTCACACACTCAACTTAAACTTCATATTTCACCGCTTTTAACTTTAGGTCTATGTTTTTAAGCTGACAGAAATATTTAATTGACCATTTTTTATGTTTGACGTGAATTGTGAAACGAAAGCATCATTTAACTATCTGCTTTTTGAACTTAAACCAGTTAAAGTATTTTTTGTTAGCTGTTTGAATAAGTTTGAATCTATCTATCTATCTATCTATCTATCTATCTATCTATCTGTCTGTATATCTGTCTGTCTGTCTGTCTGTCTGTCTGTCTATCATCTATCTATCTATCTATCTATCTATCTATCTATCTATCTATCTATCTATCTACAGTGTTGGGGGTAACGCATTACCAGTAACGTGAGTAATCTAGTCAGATTACTTTTCCAAGTAACTAGTAAAGTAACGCATTACTTTTTAATTGACAAGAAAATATCTGAGTTACTTTTTCAAATAAGTAACGCCAGTTCCTTTGTTTTCCCATGTATTGACTGCAGCTCTGCTGTCCTCATGTTGAGAGAAGTCAGGAGTGAGTGCAGAGGCGCTGTGTGAACAAGGTGTTACTGTAGATCTAGACTAAATCAAGTAACTAAGTAACGCATTACTTTTTAATTGACAAGAAAATATCTGAGTTACTTTTTCAAATAAGTAACGCCAGTTCCTTTGTTTTCCCATGTATTGACTGCAGCTCTGCTGTCCTCATGTTGAGAGAAGTCAGGAGTGAGTGCAGAGGCGCTGTGTGAACAAGGTGTTACTGTAGATCTAGACTAAATGTGAACATGCATTCGCTCATCTCACTTGCACAAAAACAGATTCAGTATTCCTCAATTTCTTTCGTCCTATTCTTCATGCGACCCAGAATGGCAGCACAGCTGAAAGGTTTCTTTGAGCTTTTTGAATTTACATTTCCTTCAGCCTGAGGCTTATTCTCATTTCACTTTTGGTGTGAAAGGGCTTTTACATTTGCTGAAAATAGAACTGTTTTATATTAAAAACAAACAAGTAAGCCCGGACCAGATGAGAAAAAGTAATGCAAAAGTAACGTAACGTAACGCATTACTTTCCATAAAAAGTAGCCTACTTAAGCAAAACACAATTAGTTACTTTTTTTGGGAGAGTAGCGTAATATTGTAATGCATTACCAGAGCTGGAAAGTAACAGATTACATGTAATCTGGATTACGTAATCAGATTCCAAAATTAAGTACTCGTAATTAAAATACTCGTAATCAGACTACAGTTAGCCTACTTTATTGATTACATGATTACATATTATTCACATATTATACATATTATTCTCCCTAATTCCTCTTTTTCATCTTTTTACCCCCTGAGATTTTAAAATATTGTAATTATTAGGCCCAAGTATCACATTTGCATGTTCTCGGCTCTCTGACGCTGCTCAGTGGTCACATGCAGGTAAACAAATAAAATATTTCACTTTTTTAGTTAAATGTTTTATTTTGATTGATGCTATTTTAAAAGATTTTATTTTTATTTTTACATTTTTATGATTTAATTCATTATTAGCTTTTCATTAAACTCATAAACCCCTTTAATGTAATGTTTAATGCTTTATATGTTGTTGATAACAACGCATGGAATATATTTTCTTACTCTTTGAATTTTTATTTCAATATGGTATAAGATTATCCTATTTAAATTAATGTGATAAACGAGTTAGGTCAAAAGTTATATAAAAGTAGTCCGATTATATTACCTAAAATGTGTAATGTAACGGATTACGTTACAAACTACAATTGTTGTCATGTAATTTGGAATCAGTAACGGATTACAATTAGTAAGTAATCTACCCAGCTCTGTGCGTTACTTTTAAAAGTATCATCTCTGAGTGTGTTTTTTTATTTTTTATTTGTTTTGTTTTTTTTGGTTTGCCAACCGCCAATCAAATTTAAAGAAGAAGAAGAAGAAGAAGAAGAAGAAGTGTGTGTTTTATTTATTTTTTTGTTTTTTTGGATTGCGAGCCGCCAATAAAAAACGAAGAAGAAAAAGTGTGTGTTTTTTTCAGCAGCGTTCTCAGTGCGATGGGAGTCCTGTGAGGATGGACACACGGCAAATCCTGCGACTCTTGATCGTTTTATCAGGATTGAACGGAGCGTGTGATGGTAAGTATGAGGGGTTTGTTTATTTCAGCAGTGTTTTGTTTACAGCCGGGTGTCGGTTCGGTTCGTTTAATGTGTTTTAGTCGCTGAACGTTAGGCGTTTTTAATACAACAACAACATGGCGCTGGGATTTAACGACTAGCCCCATAAACTCTCTGCCTTTTCGCTGACTTTCTCTCAGTCTCTGTCTGAAACATTAATGTATGGTGTGCTTGAAGTTATATTTTATATACGTGCTGTTTAAATAACCGTAATAAAGCAGGATGACCGTGTTTATGATAGAAACTCAAAGGTGAAGGGCTAGCATGCTAACAGGCTAACTTAGTTTAATATGAGGCTGTAAATTCGGTTAAAAGCTTCAGAACAACTAAAATCAGCTCGTGTGATCAAATGCCCTGCGTTTAACCTTTTCTAAGTCTGATTATGGTTTAAAAGTTCATACATTGTGAATTGTCACATTTGACATTCATTTGGGTTTAATTCTCTTTAAAAGCTGCTTTCATTGAGCTGTTGCACATTTGCTGTATGCTTCTCCTTGTTTTTGTGTACGTTTATAATTTTGTGTTTATTTGTTTTTGTATCTAGGAAGTAATTTGAGAGACTTTATATTTTACATGAGCACGGTATCAATTACAGTAAACAAATGCAGATACAGTAAACAGAAAATGGGTTTATTTGGATCCTGGCAGACTGTTTTATTTAAACTTATTTATTTGAGTCTGAATATGATTTTTAACAGTCAGAAGAGCCTATATAAACACATCTATATTGGCTGACCTGCATATTAACACAGGTGTAAGTTCCTCCAAATGTTTACTGTTATTTTTGTCATTAATATTAGGTTTACGCGTTGTATTTAGCTAAGCAGTAGAGAGGAGCTCTCAGTTCACTATAAGTACAGTGGAAAATCAAGTAAATGGATGCTCTCAGTATGAAATAACATGTTAATGTCAGGACAGAAGGAAGGTGTGTGGTCTGCAGATCGAAGTATAGGTCTGCAGCTTTCCTTTGAGTGATGATATGGTTTTGAGTAACGATAACCTCTGAGCGCAGGTTATGATAATGGTTGGGTGTTGTGTGGGTTAAATCTCAGTTCTTTGTGAAGAAGGGACAAAATAAGGATATGACCGAAGAGTGACCCCATTTCTCTTATACGTGTCTGTCTGGCTCTTTCTCTCCGCATCATATAGAAATACAGCATGTTTTTGTTCGTGTTTGGTTTGATATGGGGTAACTCATAGCCAAGGGGTTTTCTTTATTCCTGTGAAGGTTTCTTCTTAACCCGCTGTAAAAAGGCCCTTAATGTTTTCTGCATATTAAAGACTTGACAGGCTTGGACATGCACACTAGTTTAAGAGCTCTGCGTTTCCCCTCAAGGTTCAATAAAGTGCATCTATCTGTCTGTTGATTAATATGCCCGGCTAGGGAAGAATAAGTTAATTGTGTTCTCTAATTATCTTTAAAAGCATAATACTATAAATTTATGTAAAATGCTTTAAAATGTATGATAATAATGCTGATACTTGGCAGACGAAAGTATAGCGCTGAGCTTGTGTGATACAGCTAATATCTTCATTCAGCCTTTTGATGATATTCAGTGTTTTGGTTTATACTAGTGCTGGGCGGTTTGACCAAAAATCTGTCACCATTTTTTTTTTTTTTTTTTTTTAGGATTTTTTTAGGTTTAATGGTTTATCATGTTTTTTTCCCTTATGGGCATTTATATGAATCGGAATGCATGAAACGGTTGCAGAACCACTGCATTTTAATCACGATCCAAACAAACATGCTACGTATAGGATGAACCGTTTTTGATGTAATTTTGATTAGTATCATTTCAGAATTTAAAGCAAAAATAGAATAGTGTGACTTAGGGCTGCACGATTAATCGAATGCGATTGTCATGCGCATTTTGTTAAAAAAGCCGGTTCTGTAATCAGCAGGAAATCATCATCACGTGCTTTCAGATGGAGCAGCATTTACTACACATAGCCGTAAGTTCACTGACAAGTTACGCAAAAAAATCGATTCTGAAATCGTTCGCGATAATGACAGCTGTTTGCGTAGCTTCTCAGTGAACTACGGCTCTGTGAAGTAAATGCTGCTCCATCTGAAAGCATGTGAAAATACCACATTTAATAACATATTTTTACTCCAAACTCACTTC